AAGCTTTCATTCTGTTGTAAAAAAGTTGCTAATTTAGTTAATTTATATATATATATATATATATATATAGTAGGGCTGTGCAAAAATTAATTGCGATTAATCGCATCCAAAATAAAAGTCTGTTTACATAATATATTTTTGTGTGCTGTATATAATTATTTTGTATATATAAATACACACAAATGCATATATATATATTTAAGAAAATGTGTTATTCATATATAAAATATTTATATTTATATAATATAGATTATATATATATATATATATATATATATACAGAATATAAGTGCAAATAATTCTTAAATATATACATGCATGCATAGGTATTTATATATACAAAATAATTTGTATCTCTCTCGAGGGCCGCTAGTTGACCCCATGTTCCCGTTCTCCCCCAGAACGACATCGACGCTCCTGTTAAATCTGCTAGCATGCTAAACTCCTCTAAAGTGGACGGGTCGCTGCCACCCAAACCCGTCAGCGCCTCGATGGACGACTCGGAGAGGAAGAAGGTTCTGGAGGAGTGCAAACGCTTGCAGAGCGAGGCCAACAAGCTGCACGAGGAGAACCGCCAGCTCAAGGTGACGCACACACCGGTCACATGGGGCAACTGAGATGTGTACCTCATCTGAACGCTCAATAAATCAGCTTTCCATTGATGTACAGGTGAAACTCAAAAATGAGAATATCGTGCAAAAGCTCATTTATTTCAGCAAGGTTTCCATATCTGTAAGCCATAATCATCACAATTATAACAAATAAAGCCTTGAAATATCTCACTTTGGATGTAATGAGTCTATATAATATATCAGTTTCACCTTTTAAGTTGAATTATAGAAATTAACTTTTGCACGATATTCTCATTATTTTCATCTGTGGTTTGTTAGGATAGGACAATATTTGGCTCATATATATGACTATTTGAGGGTGCAAAGTTGTGCATTTATGTTCGCCATTGTGCTCACAAAAATAAATATTTTATATATTAACGGTACGAAATGTACAAAATATCTTCACGGAACATGATCGTTACTTAATATCCTAATGATTTTTGGCATAAAAGAAAAATGTATCATTTTAACCCATACAATTTATTGTTGGCTATCACCACAAATATACACTGATTGTTTATTCCATTGTTTACACATCCTTTTTAAAAATGGCGGGTGCTGGTGTTTCTGCCAATCAGCAAACACTTACGTCACGGGTAGTTCCTATAGTGCTGGTTTAGTAAATCCGTTCTAGAACTAAAGTCATTCCTAGTTCCTGCGGTGCGAACAAACACGCCAAAATCTGTGAACTTCTGCCAATAGTTCTAGAAACCATGAAACGGTTCCTGCGGTGCGAAAGCCCCTATTAGTGCAGCAGATTAGTAAAAATTTTGGTATACAAGCATGAAATTTGGTACAGATATTCTATAAGCGCCACTATTCTGGAAAAAGACATTGGCCACTCAAAAATTCAATATGGTGGCCATTTTACAAGATGGGTTAAACACTTAACGGGTTAAATTGAGCTCTGACAGAAATGGTGGCCATCTTGAAAATGGTCGCCATCTTGAATTTTTCAAAGTGCCACACATCTTTTTCCATGAGAATGTTCCTTGAAGAATATTTGTACCAAATTTCATGATAGCACCACCATTTGAAAAAAAGATTCAAGAGAAATGGCGGCCATCTTGAATTTTTGAGGGACAAGCACCATTTCCCAAAAAAATACTCTGAAAGGTATTTTCACAAAATGTTATGCCCACATCACTGTTTGAATGATTGACAAAATGGGCATTTGACAGAAATAGCGGCCATCTTGAGAAAATGGTCGCCATCTTGAATTTTTCAAAGTGGCATACATCTTTTTCCAAGAGAATATTCCTTTAAAAATATTTGTACCAAATTTCATGATAGCACCACCATTTGAAAAAAAGATTCAAGAGAAAGGGCGGCCATCTTGAAAAATGGTGGCCATCTTGAATTTTTGAGGGACAAGCACCATTTCCCAAAAAATACTCTCAAAGGTACTTTCATGCCTACATCACTGTTTGAACGATTGACAAAATGGGAATTTGACAGAAATAGCGGCCATCTTGAGAAAATGGTCGCCATCTTGAATTTTTCAAAGTGTGTTTTTCAAAGAATCTTTCAAAAAAGATTCAAGAGAAATGGCGGCCATCTTGAAGAATGGTGGCCATCTTGAATTTTTGAGGGACAAGCACTATTTCCCAAAAAATACTCTCAAAGGTATTTTCATGCCCACATCACTGTTTAAACGATTGACAAAATGGGCATTTGACAGAAATAGCGGCCATCTTGAGAAAATGGTCGCCATCTTGAATTTTTCAAAGTGTGTTTTTCAAAGAATCTTTCAAAAAAGATTCAAGAGAAATGGCGGCCATCTTGAAGAATGGTGGCCATCTTGAATTTTTGAGGGACAAGCACTATTTCCCAAAAAATACTCTCAAAGGTATTTTCATGCCCACATCACTGTTTAAACGATTGACAAAATGGGCATTTGACAGAAATAGCGGCCATCTTGAGAAAATGGCCGTCATGTTGAATTTTTGGTTGGCCAACGCCTTTTTCCTAAAAAGCGACCCGTAGAGAGCATCTGTGCCAAATGTCATGCTTGTATACCAATTTTGGTTTTGCTTGTGTTGGTCATCAGGAAGAGAGTTTGAGACTGAGAAAGTTCCAGCGCATCGAACACGCGTCGACCAATTCCAGGTCTCCGATTGGCCGAGAGTCCACGACCAGTTCGCTCCCCTCACTGCTGGTCGTCATCGCCGCCATCTTCATCGGCTTCTTCCTCGGGAAGTTCATCCTGTAGGCGAAGGCGGATCTGACGAACGGTTTCGACACGAGCGATCGATGGTGTTGACGAAGTTTGGCCCGCATAATCATCATCATCATCCCGACGGGCCGACCGGCGACGCCATCTTTGTTTGTTTTGGTTCACATGCTGTTGTTTCTGTCGAGGAATGGACGTTACGAACTGGTTTATTAGGACGGATGAAGGCGAACCCCTCCAAACTCCCATCTTAGTTTTACTAAAACGGTTGAAAAGTGTAAATGTCATTATTTTTAATCCCTCCATCCGAAACGAAAGAGCATGTGCTGATGATGTCATCAACGGTCGACGCGCGACACGGGTGCCTCCTGTCCTTCACGTGTACATTTGTTCTCTGTTCCTAACAATACCAATGCAGACTGTTTTATTACTGTAATTATCAGTTATGAATTCTATTATTAATGTACTTTCTTCTCTGAACTGCATTTATCCACACAAATGTTCACGACGTCTTCACTTTACTGTCTCATACTAGACGACATTGAAGAAATAAACGGGAAAAATAGATACGTTTTGTGTCTTTTATTTGTATTTGAGGTTCATATTCGTCAAACTCGCACTCTAGGATTACAGTGAATTCACCTTTGACTTGGTAAATCTGTTCTGATCATGTGATTAAAGTCCCACTGTGGCGTTTTTAAAACGCTTCAACACACACCATGTGTAAGTTCATAAGTCGACAGCATTGCTGAGTATTTCCTCCTTAAAACACGCTTTGGTGTTTCGCTGGTGTTTCTGACGTCACAAACCACCTTGTAACCAATCAGATCAACGTGTGATCGACAACCAGTGGATCTCTGAGTGAGTGGAGGCGGGGCTCATTTGCATATTCATAGAACCGGGCATACTAAATGAGCCGAGGGTGTCGAGTTACATTCAAGATATTTTAAGGCATGAAGATTTATTGTTTAAGGAAAAAAAAACATTTAAATATGTAATTTTGGTTTTAAGGGATACAATGATCGAATACAGGGGGACTTTAACTATTAATGCCCATGACCTTTGAACTGTTGAAATATTGAGGATTAACAAAACAGTATATATGATTTTTATGGTGAAATAAAATTAAGCACCTGCTTTAATATCGTGTTTTTTTTTATTTGTTTCATAAAGCTTTTATCGGACTAATTTAGTCAGTATTTATATATCCCATAGCCCATATTTATTGCACATATTAACTATTTCCACCATTATTTTTAAGTTGCAATTTTTTAAACAATTTTTTTTTAATGTATATTTTCTCAAAAAATGTCTTGGCCACCAGTATTTTGTTGAATGAATTTCTGAACATGCAATATATATATATATATATATATATATATATATATATATATATATAAGAACAGAGACTTTAGCTTCACACATTCTCTTAAAGTATCTGTTCTTATATATATATATATATATATATATATATATATATATTAGGGCTGTGCAAAACTTAATTGCGATTAATCGAATCCAAAATAAAAGTCTGTGTTTACATAATATATTTGTGTGTGCTGTATATAATTATTTTGTATATATAAATACACACACATGCATGTATATATTTAAGAAAATGTGTTATTCATATATAAAAATTTATATTTATATAATATAGATTATGTATTTATATATATATATATATATATATATATATATATATACAGAATTTAAGCGCAAATAATTCTTAAATATATACATGCATGCATAGGTATTTATATTTACAAAATAATTATATACAGCACACACAAATATATTATGTAAACACAGACTTTTATTTTGGATTCGATTAATCGCAGTTAATTTTTGCACAGCCCTAATATATATATATATATATATATATATATATATAAGAACAAATACTTTAGCTTCACACATTCTTTTAAACCAACAATTGAATGTGTAAGTTTCATAAAAATGCAACATTTTGATCAAAAACCTGAGAAAACTTTCTCAAGACTTCATTCAGTAACATTACGCAGTTTTGATTAATATGCTGTTTATTTGACGTATACTTCAGCAATGCTTCTAAAGTTAATTCGTTGTACATATATTATTCATGTGTGTATATATATATATATATATATATATATATATATACTTAAGTCTTTCAAGCACTAATATTTCCTTTAGCAAATACATATTTAGTGTGCAAAATCAAGACAAACGTGTTCAAGTTTCAAATTTATTGTCATTCTGTTGTTCTTTGCTGAAGAATGTAATGTTAAACAGTTAGCACAGTTTTATTCAGGCTGATGTCTGTGTGTAACCGATAAACATGGATCTTAAAATACAGTTATTAATATTCATTACGCAGTAAAACAACAGATATAAAACATCTTAAATGTATTTTTTTAAGCATTTAATAATAATAAAGCAGGACATTTTTACCCCCTTATGTGTTTCGTTCTCAGGATTAAACACATTATACAGTATGAGAAATGAAGAATGTTATAGTTATGAAACTTAATGATTTCATACATAATTTTTCTATAACGATATTTTGCAGGGTGGGTCTGTGTATTTATAAATATAATGTTGATGAGTGTGTAGGGTCAGGTTTACTGGCCTGTGTTAAAGCCTTCCTAAAACAGCAGTGATTATCTACATTAATATGCAGCCCTTGGAATGGCTCATATCGTCGTCTTAAACTCATTCTCGTATAAAAATACCTCTGATATGAACGTCCTCGTCTCACGCGTTCTGCAACGAATGCTTTACAGGGAAAACAGAGAAATTAAAGTTCTGTCATCATCATTTGACATGTCAAACCTTGAGCTCATCCTTTCTGTCAAACACTAATGGAGAATTTTTAAAAGCAACTCGAGTCACACCAATAAAATAAACAGTAAAAGTAAGGGACACAACACAAACTATCTCACACACACACATTTTTTGGAGTGCATTTACGTTTATAAATAGTTCGTAGGAACATTTCTCAAATTGTCGCGTCATATTTACGCTCATCATCCGCTCGTCTTCATGAACGAGGCTCCTGCTCTCTATGAATGGAAAAGAAAGTGAATAATCGATGACAGAATCTTCATTTCGGGCGGGAACGTCTTTCCCTTTCGGCTCTCATGAAAAACAAACTATCGTCCGAAGTGAAAGCGTCGGGCTTCGTTCGTTCTAATAAAGTGCGGTTATCGTTGTGCAGCAGTTTCGATTAGTCCAATCATTATTACACAAGTGCATTCTGGGTCTTCAAGTCAAACATGTTCCACAAACGGCGCCGTCGTCAGATCGCCATGGTAACTGTCCCGGCAACTGGCGTGAAAATGCACTTATTTGTCTGCAAACATAAACGCGAATAAACTCAAGACCGCCACCGTTGTCGCCAGATCGCCATGGTAACCGCCCTGGCAACGGTTCCTGAGTCGCTGCGGCTCCTCGGCGATGACCTCTGACCTGCACTGGAGTAAAGGCATCTGATAGGACGTGGCTCTCCTCTCGGGCCGGTCCGGGCTGGATCCGTCGCTGGGCCGCTGGCCGTTGTAGAGCAGGTTTCGCCCCTGAGCGTCCGTCTCCGCGCGGAAGAGCTCGTACTCCGTGTGCGGGAGGCGGAGCCCCAACGCCACGCAGCCATTGGTCGGAGTGACGTCCTGCTCCACGCCCACACGCCACGAGCCCTGAACGCCACACTCGTTCCCCTCGAAGACGTTCAGCAGAGACGTGGTCGCGAGATCCATCGGCATCACACGCATGTGGTTCACTGGAAGGAGAATTAATTAAAGTTATATTAAAGTCCATTAATAGATCCGGCACACATCTGCCACAAATGGATTCCACATGGTCCAGATCCGGCCCACATCTGGCACAAATGGATTCCACATGGTCCAGATCCGGCCCAGATCTGCCACAAATGGATTCCACATGGTCCAGATCCGGTCCACATCTGCCACAAATGGATTCCACATGGTCCAGATCCGGTCCACATCTGCCACAAATGGATTCCACACGGCCCAGATCCGGCCCACATCTGCCACAAATGGATTCCACACGGCCCAGATCCGGCCCACATCTGCCACAAATGGATTCCACATGGTCCAGATCCGGCCCACATCTGGCACAAATGGATTCCACATGGTCCAGATCCGGCCCACATCTGGCACAAATGGATTCCACATGGTCCAGATCCGGCCCACATCTGGCACAAATGGATTCCACACGGCCCAGATCCGGCACACATCTGCCACAAATGGATTCCACATGGTCCAGATCCGGTCCACATCTGGCACAAATGGATTCCACATGGTCCAGATCCGGCCCACATCTGGCACAAATGGATTCCACATGGTCCAGATCCGGCCCACATCTGGCACAAATGGATTCCACACGGCCCAGATCCGGCCCACATCTGGCACAAATGGATTCCACATGGTCCAGATCCGGTCCACATCTGGCACAAATGGATTCCACATGGTCCAGATCCGGCCCACATCTGGCACAAATGGATTCCACACGGCCCAGATCCGGCCCACATCTGGCACAAATGGATTCCACATGGTCCAGATCCGGCCCAGATCCGGCCCACATGGATTCCACATGGTCCAGATCCGGTCCACATCTGGCACACATGATTCCACATGGCCCAGATCCGGCCCACATCTGGCACACATGGATTCCACACGGTCCAGATCCGGCCCACATCTGGCACACATGATTCCACATGGCCCAGATCCGGCCCACATCTGGCACAAATGGATTCCACATGGTCCAGATCCGGCCCACATCTGGCACACATGATTCCACACGGCCCAGATCCGGCCCACATCTGGCACACATGGATTCCACATGGTCCAGATCCGGCCCAGATCCGGCCCACATGGATTCCACATGGTCCAGATCCGGCCCACATGGATTCCACACAGTCCAGATCCGGCCCACATGGATTCCACATGGTCCAGATCCGGTCCACATCTGGCACAAATGGATTCCACATGGTCCAGATCCGGCCCAGATCCGGCCCACATGGATTCCACATGGTCCAGATCCGGTCCACATCTGGCACACATGATTCCACATGGCCCAGATCCGGTCCACATCTGGCACACATGATTCCACATGGCCCAGATCCGGCCCACATCTGGCACACATGATTCCACATGGTCCAGATCCGGCCCACATCTGGCACAAATGGATTCCACATGGTCCAGATCCGGCCCAGATCCGGCCCACATGGATTCCACATGGTCCAGATCCGGCCCACATCTGGCACACATGGATTCCACACAGTCCAGATCCGGCCCACATGGATTCCACATAGTCCAGATCCGGTCCACATCTGGCACAAATGGATTCCACATGGTCCAGATCCGGCCCACATCTGGCCCACATGGATTTCACACAGTCCAGATCCGGCCCAGATCCGGCCCACATGGATTCCACACGGTCCAGATCCGGCCCACATCTGGCCCAGATGAATTCCACACAGTTCAGATATTTTCGAAGAGTCTCACCTCTGAACACGAACTCGGTGCCGCCCATGACGCGTGTGGACCGAACCCCGCGACTGTACCGTCCGCTAGCGTAGATGCTGAAGGCGGGGTGTTTGCAGGCCGGGTCAGAGTAGTGGTAGTATCGGCCTTCCCACGTGCTGTTGTTGTCGTGGAAGATGAAGTGTCGCGTGAGGAACAGAACCTCGGGCCGGACCTCGCAGCGCCGCGACACCCAGTGCCCGTGGAGGCTCACCGCGAGCTCGGGTCCGTGCGGGAGAACCGGCGGGTGGAAGACGTCCGAGAGAGACACGATCCCACACGAGACACAGCTCAGATCGTGGTTCTGACAACAGATGTGATTATCTTCAATTCAGTTCACACTTATTAAATGTTTTATTTTACTGTATGTTCCTGTTAATGAACTTCAGAAGATTAATTAACAATCAGAAACAATCAGAATTTTTTCTCTCCCCGACACTTCAATAACATCAAGAAAAATTAAAGCTGTTCTTTTGCACACAAAAACATGTGTGTGAGTGCAGCACATAGCAAGTAAATCAGTACGTATGACCAGAGAGATTTATTCCAGGCAAAAGTTTGTAACAACCACGATTTTTAATGTTTTTGAGTGTGTTCTGCTCACCAAGACTTGTGTAGTGTCCTGGAGTGGCCACTAGGTGTCGTGTTTGTATCACAAGTGTGTGAGGAAGACCTCTGTACTGGTCAGGACACACAACACTTGTGATACAAACGCGACACCTAGTGGCCACTCCAGGACACTACACAAGCCAAGAGTGTGTATCTCTGTTGCTGCAAACAGACGTAAAGCGATAATAAATACAACTCAGTGTATGGAGTCTGATTTATAGTGAGAAGATCCTTAAGTTTATCTGATCAGAAACACAGGAAAAACCTGTTTTATGTTTATTATAAATATTTGTTCAATAATCATTTATATAATAATCATTTGTTTGTAATGAATATATAAAAATATTTTATGTTTGATATTTTTTCCAGGATATTTACATATTTTTATAAAAATAGAACAAATAGGTTTTTGTAACGAATAATAATACATTTATTTTTATAATGAAATTTTGTAATTAATAATATTAATAATACATTTTTGTAAATGTTTAAACACTTCTTTGTAAATTTGCAAATTGCTTTTTAATGAAAACAATAATTGCTGTTTTTATATAGATTTTTAATTAAAAATAGTTCATTTTTGTACTGAATAATAATAATGTTTCTTTTAAATAATAATATTAATTAATAATAATATTTTTATATGAATATATTTGTATATATTTTATATATAAAATATATAATAATTATTTTATTTTTATATAATTATTTTTTTGGATATTTACACATTTTTTATAATAATAATAAAATATGTTTTTGTAATTAATGATGCATTTTTGTACTGAATAATAATCATATTTTTCCTTTAAATAATAATATTAATAATATTTTATATTTATTTTATAAATGTTTTTTATATATTTACACATTTTTATGATAATAATAAAATGTTTTTGTAATTAATAATGATGCATTTTTGTAATGAATAATAATGCATTTTTAATGAATAATAATGTTTTTTTTATATTTATAATTCTTTTTTATGTTTTTGTATTTTTTTTTTTTACAAAAAAAACTAAATTTTGATGTTGAAGCCTATAAAATGTATTTTCTTTCAAGGATGTTTACATATTTTTTATTTGACATTTGCTTTATTAGCTGCTCATTACAGCAGTACATCCCTCTCGGCTGCCGATTACAGTGATTTACCAGACAGTGTTTCCGCAACACATGGCCTGAATGTTTCTGCGCTCACCTTGGCGTTCTGCAGCGCGGGCTGATAGCTGGAGGGTCTGTAGTAAATCCTCTGCGCGGGTTCGGTGTGAACGTCTCCCAGGTACAGCTCCTCCACCAGGTGATCCAGGTTGTGGTGCAGGTACTGTTTCTCCAGCCTCAGCAGCTGAAGCTCATGCATGGAGAAGTTCAGGCCTCGGTACCAGTCGCAGTCGCAGACGCTCTCGTCGCTCCACAGATCGTAACTCACGTGAGGCTCCCAGGATCCGGGGTCCATCGTGGAGCTTCTGCAGGTGCGGTTCAGTTTCTGACCGAAATCTTTAGCCACCGACGTCGAGTGACACACCACCTGTCGAGACAAGACACGTTTATTTCTACAGCGCACTGTAAAAAAAGATCGTGATTTTAACCGAAAAAGACTGCTTCAGTGAAAAGGCGGTAAACGTAAAATAACGCTTCAGTGAAAAGACGGTAAAACAGTAAATGGTAAAATAACGCTTCAGTGAAAAGACGGTAAAACGGTAAATGGTAAAATAACGCTTCACTGAAAAGACGGTAAAACGGTAAATGGTAAAATAACGCTTCAGTGAAAAGACGATAAAACGGTAAATGGTAAAATAACGCTTCAGTGAAAAGACGGTAAAACGTTAAATGGTAAAATAACGCTTCACTGAAAAGACGGTTAAACGGTAAATGGTAAAATAACGCTTCAGTGAAAAGACGGTAAAACGTTAAATGGTAAAATAACGCTTCAGTGAAAAGACGGTGAAACGGTAAATGGTAAAATAACGCTTCAGTGAAAAGACGGTAAAACGGTAAATGGTAAAATAACGCTTCAGTGAAAAGACGGTAAAACGGTAAATGGTAAAATAATGCTTCAGTGAAAAGATGGTAAAACAGTAAATGGTAAAATAATGCTTCAGTGAAAAGACGGTAAAACAGTAAATGGTAAAATAACGCTTCAGTGAAAAGACGGTAAAACAGTAAATGGTAAAATAATGCTTCAGTGAAAAGACGGTAAAACAGTAAATGGTAAAATAATGCTTCAGTGAAAAGACGGTAAAACGGTAAATGGTAAAATAACGCTTCAGTGAAAAGACGGTAAAACGGTAAATGGTAAAATAATGCTTCAGTGAAAAGACGGTAAAACAGTAAATGGTAAAATAATGCTTCAGTGAAAAGACGGTAAAACAGTAAATGGTAAAATAACGCTTCAGTGAAAAGACGGTAAAACGTTAAATGGTAAAATAACGCTTCAGTGAAAAGACGGTGAAACGGTAAATGGTAAAATAACGCCTCAGTGGAAATACGGTAAAACGGTAAATGGTAAAATTAACGCTTCAGTGAAAAGACGGTAAAACGATAAATGGTAAAATAATGCTTCAGTGAAAAGACGGTAAATGGTAAAATAACGCTTCAGTGAAAAGACGGTAAAACAGTAAATGGTAAAATAATGCTTCAGTGAAAAGATGGTAAAACAGTAAATGGTAAAATAATGCTTCAGTGAAAAGACGGTAAAACAGTAAATGGTAAAATAACGCTTCAGTGAAAAGACGGTAAAACAGTAAATGGTAAATAATGCTTCAGTGAAAAGACGGTAAAACAGTAAATGGTAAAATAATGCTTCAGTGAAAAGACGGTAAAACGGTAAATGGTAAAATAACGCTTCAGTGAAAAGACGGTAAAACAGTAAATGGTAAAATAATGCTTCAGTGAAAAGACGGTAAAACAGTAAATGGTAAATAATGCTTCAGTGAAAAGACGGTAAAACAGTAAATGGTAAAATAACGCTTCACTGAAAAGACGGTAAAACGGTAAATGGTAAAATAACGCTTCACTGAAAAGACGGTAAAACAGTAAATGGTAAAATAATGCTTCAGTGAAAAGACGGTAAAACAGTAAATGGTAAAATAACGCTTCAGTGAAAAGACGGTAAAACGATAAATGGTAAAAGAGTGTTCAGGCTTTACAGCAGATCTAGAATACAGTTATTGTCCAGATAAAGTTAGTTTTGATTGATTCACTTCCGTTGTAAAGACCATTAATTATTAACTCACACGACACCGTTTTAATTGAAAACAGAAAACGTTTAAAATGTTCCGGCCGCTTATTTGCACGACAACAGTGTTTGGAGCTCGAGAACACAAACCATTATAAGCATAGGGCCCAAAACAATGACCTTGGGGGTCCTCGGTTTTTCATTAAAACTGGAATACTAGAAACATAATAGTTGACAAACTAACACAACCTGTGTGCGGTGGATCTGGTAGTCGGCCTCGGTCCCGCCCCGTACGATCCAGGACGCCTGTCGGAGTCGCAGTCGGCCCCGGATGAGGAGTGTGTATGTCGGGTCGGTGCAGTGGTTGTCGGCGTAGTAGAACTGGAGAGCCTGGAAGGTGTTGTTGTGAAAGAAGCGGTACGAGCGAGTGAGAAACTCTGGACCGGGTCGAACCTCACAGCTGCCATGAGGGAACAGAGAGAGTCAAGTCACCTTTAAATTAGCCTGTATTTCATGTTTACGGTAATACACTCTAAAATATTTTCACATTTTTACTGTAAAATAACAGTAAGTAAATTGCAGGTGACTCCATTTTACCGTTATTTTACAGAGAATTTTTTTTATTATAAGTTGTTTATCCGTGCACATTATTATTGTTTTAACGTTATGTTCCTAGTAATCTTGAAACAGAATCAGTTCCTCTTGCAGCATCTCTTCTCTTCTCTGATGATGTGGGCGGGGCAACCCGTCACTCACATGAGATCCGCCAATAGCAAACCACAACCATCCAATCGATTCCCCATGAACAAAATCAAGCCCCGCCCACATTTGTTCTTGTTTGAGAAGCCTTTCACTCAGATATACGGCATAAAGGGGAAGAAAAGACTTGCACAACTTTACACCGACTTCAATGTTGTAAAATGTATAGATTATGACACAAGTTATAAATTCAGTCATTTTCACTGCCAATTTTATGGTAGTTTATCAGGTAATTTTTACTACCAATTTTACGGTAATTTACCGGGTCATTTTTACTACCAATTTTACGGTAATTTACCGGGTCATTTTTACTACCAATTTTACGGTAATTTACCAGGTCATTTTTACTACCAATTTTACGGTAATTTACCGGGTCATTTTTACTACCAATTTTACGGTAATTTACGGGTCATTTTTACTACCAATTTTACGGTAATTTACCGGGTCATTTTTTACAAACAATTTTACGGTAGTTTACCGGGTCATTTTTACTGCCAATTTTACTGTAGTTTACCAGTCATTTTTACTACCAATTTTACGGTAGTTTACCGGGTCATTTTTACTGCCAATTTTACGGTAGTTTACCGGGTCATTTTTACTGGCAACTTTACGGTAGTTTACCGGGTCATTTTTACTACCAACTTTACGGTAGTTTACCGGTCATTTTTACAACTAATTTTACGGTAGTTTACCGGGTCATTTTTACTGGCAACTTTACGGTAGTTTACCGGTCATTTTTACAACTAATTTTACGGTAGTTTACCCGGTCATTTTTACTGGCAACTTTACGGTAGTTTACCGGTCATTTTTACAACTAATTTTACGGTAGTTTACCGGGTCATTTTTACTGCCAATTTTACAGTAGTTTACCGGGTCATTTTACTGGTAATTTATCAGGCAATTTTTACTGTCAATTTTACGGTAATTTACTGGGATTGCTGTGTGAAAGGGGCTAATAGTGTCATTATTCAGATCAATTCAGTTCAAGTTTTGTTCTCATCTAATACTGTCAGTGTAGTTAAATCGATAATATAACTGAATACTAATTGCCTTTTAAAAGAAAAGAAAAGAAAAGAAAGACTCTGACGCTCTCACCTGGTGGACACCCAGTGGCCCTCGATGTTGGGCGGCATCTGGACCGTTATGCGGGCGCCATTATGCAGGTGTTTCAGCATGTGGAGGCACTGTGTGTGTTTGGACGGCCAGCCGAGACTCTTCTCTAGCGCCAGACGAGGGGAACGACTGTCCGACGAGCCCTTCACACACCCTGAGGACACCAAACACAGCAACTGGTTAGATGAGGTTTTGGAGGCTGTGTACAAGTGTGATCAACGGAACGAGAGGTCTAATTTATTTTTTGATGTGCGAATATTTCGGACTCAGTGTGCAATGGCCTTTAAACGGCACAATAGGGAAAACAAGACTTGCGCAACTTACACTTTACACTAAATTCATAAATTATGGCACAAATTCAAAATGCTACAGAAGACATTAGTTTCTTACACACATACAGTTTTTACTGGTAAATTACCAGTAAATTATGTCTATCTATCTATCTATCTATCTATCTATCTATCTATCTATCTATCTATTCATCCATCTGTCCATCCATCCATCCATCCATATTTTTAAATCATTTCAATGTAAAACACTTTGAATTACCAGTTAAAATTTCAGTTTATGTTAGTATTGAAAGGGTTAATTAATTCTGTAAATCCTTGAGAACTGTACGCATGAACGAATGTAAAAAGATCTGCAAGTAAACACTGTAATGACACATGGCTTTAAAGATACTAACTACACGTTTAGATCAAGCTGAATGGAAAGACTAATTCCAGAAAGAAAAACCCCTGTAGAAACACACACACACACACACACACACGTGTGAACGTTAGGGGATATAAACCTGTAATGAATGTGGGAACGAGCTGTTGCTTTGGACAGAGATGAGGTATTATAATTCATTTTTAAATGTGGTGTAATGACACTTGGAGAAAATAAAGCTCATGGTTGAGATAACAGCGAACACATTTCTGGCCCGTGACCAGGACCGGCATACGGACGCCAGATGAAAGCACAAAAACCCCTGAATAGCTGCAGAATTTGAGGACTAAAACCTCGGAAATTAAATAATTTCAGTGCCTGAGGCTTCAGGTCTATATGAACACACATTCCAGAAACATCGCAAATATATTCCCAAAGTAGGAAACTTCATGAGGAGAAACTGCGTCTGCCTGAATCCGAGTCAAGAGAGCATGCGGAATAACAACGTTAACCATTTCAACCATGAAGGAGTGCAGAAACAATCCAATGCGCGACACAACATCTTTTCAGGACCTTTTAACCTTTTTGAATAAAGTCCATCACTTTTTTTGTGATTTACATTACAATAATATTTCACTATTTTACTGTCTTTTGGATCTGCTGCTTATTTCAAAAGAGACTGCTAGTGTAAAAGTGCTTAGTTTGTTCCTGTATGATGCAAAAATCGAGTTATGGATTTAATATTCGCTAGAGGGATCAGTGAACCGACTTCTATTCTGTTTCTGTCTTGTTTCTCACACTAATCATGAGCACTTTCATGCTGAAGCGAGCAGAGCCAAACACTCGGGTTCTTCCTCAAAGCGTCCACAACTCTCGAGAGCCGAGACCAAACCACCAGAACACTTCCAGCTGGCCCGATCCCATAACAGCACACACACACAGCTCCATCCTAAAGCGGTTTAGCACACGTGTTCAGGGCCGCTTTCTTCCGGACAGCCGCTTTAACGGCCCTCTCGTTCATTCTGATTATATATACAAGTTTATGAGCTTGTAGACGTTTTAATAGATGCATGATTCAATGGAGGAAAGGGTTTCATGTGGATAAGAATAGAGACACGCCACATGTATTTAGAGGAGGATGCCAGATAACAGGGGAAAGTTCTCTTAAAGTTACCAGCAAACGTTCTGCCATGCTTTAATAATGTCCTCAAAAGAAATCCTTCATGCATCGTTCATTTAAACATTTCAGTTGGAACGCTTTTTAAATGCTAAATGAACATTCAAATGTAACGTTCCAAGTATGTTTTGCAAAATGGAACGTTCACAAAACCGTTTGAAACGTTTCAAATTTAAATCTTTAAATCATGAATGACGTTTTGATTTATGGGCGAAACTTTATCTTTCAATTTCAACTTTTTGCTAGTTGTAAATAAAGATTTATGAAGTACGTTTTAAGAGAACATATTCATGTTTAATTCAATTTATTTCTAAATAATTGTGAAATTCCTAAGAGAAAATCATTTCAAACCCGATTATTATGTATCAGAATTTGAATATATTAAAGGGCTCAGTCATTTCAAACTTTCATTCTTTTTCCCAGATAATATTTGATAATTTTAGCAATGTTCTGAGCCAAAAACATGTGTTTTGTCAGATTATTCTGCTGTTCAATCATTTGTAAGTCACTTTAGAGAAAATGATTAATGTAAGCAATGAAAATGATCATTCTGTCATCATTAAACTCATACTAACTCAGATCATTGTGGTAACACTTCACAATAATGCTCATTAGTTAACATGGACTAATAATGAACTGCATACATCATTTATTAATCTTAGTTAATGCTAATTTCAACATTTACTAATACTTTATTAAAATCTTGCTAACATTAGGCCTTGTTAATGCACTGAACTATCATGAACAGCTGTATTTTTATTAACTAAAGTTGACAAAGATTAACAAATACAGAAATGAATGTATTGCTCATTGTTAGTTCATGTTACTAATACTAATATTAACTAACGAACCTTGTTGTAAATGACATTGGACCCCATTGACTTTCATTATGAAAGACATTATTAAAATCATAGGGTGAGTAAACAATGACAGCATTTTTAGATGTTCTGCATGTTCTTTTCTTTCCAGTGTGTATCTCACAGTTTGAGCTTGATTATGATTAATATCTCGGAGACACCTGCAGTGTGTGTTCTCTCTGACCCGATCCCTAGGGTTCCCCTTATTCCCAGCACACTGTAATCTGGCCTGAGACTGGTTTACGCTGCTGGGAAAGCCTGCTATAATGCGCCACTTAATTGAATGTTAGATTCTCTTAAACACCCTGCAAAGTGCATATGAAAATATCTTTTTATCTCTCGGTCTGTTTGATGAGGTTGCCAAACGTTTGTGTTTTCCAGCTGATGAAACGGGTCAAACACAGTCCAGTAACTGGGCTCTCTTCCCAAGTGACACTTTATGAGATCCACTCACGTGTGTGTGGAGAAAAACAATATTTTATGTTATTGAATCCTTAATAGGTTACAATCTCTACTAGGGCTGGGCGATATGGCCAAAAAATCATATCTCGGTATTTTTTGGTCAAATGGCGATATACGATATATATCTCGGTACTTTCTACGTTTTCTATTTAGATAAAGAAAATCTTTATATTTAAAAAATATATATTTATATATATATATATATATATATATATATATATATTCACATTCGGCCCAATGATATCCTACAAACAATGTTGATATTGAAGGATATGGAAACAAATATAATATAGGCTATGCAATATATTATGTGCAAAAAGCTTTTGTTTTTATATTGACTAAAAGCTAAACTAAAAATGAAAATAAAATCAAAAACAAACGCACAAACTAATTATATTAGCCTGCATTTGATTACCCCATTATAATCACTTTCACTTTCATTAAAAATATATACTTGTAGGTTTAAAATTCCACATATGGCACATTTATTTTCTCCAACAACAAATATTTTAGCAATATGTTTATTTTAGTCAGAATTATTGCGTACTACGTAGTACTATTCACGCGCATGCGCGCGCCGGCGCTCGTTCAAGGAAGCATGAATTTTAGCGGAGATTCAGTTGCAGAAGCTCGTCCTCTTCTGACATGGACATATTTGTTGTGAAATGGACATATTTGCTTTACTTTCTAACATTTACAGATGGAGAATATACCTGTGAAATGTAAGTTGAGCACTGAGGAAAGCACCACATCTCAAACGCATTAAACAGCGCAAGTATATCTGTCAGTCAGCAACAGTGTCTGTCAGAGCATTTGACAGGGCGGCAAGCTGCCTTAAACTTGTTAACTATATCAAAGTGATTTTGACGCAATTAATATAAGCTTGTGTCATGTTTAGGACAAATTGTACGTAGCCTAGCTACTTTCACTGCAGCAGCTCACACTGCAACCTCCGGTATTTTTCAGATGAGCTCGAGTCATATCTGCTACTGTATCGATATAAACGGTATTGCCTCATTCCATATCGTTTCAAAAAATCTAACGATACATCGTACATACTCGATATATCGCCCAGCCCTAATCTCTACATTCTACATCGCATTATAGTGCAAACTATCCCCTAACACAGACACACACACGTATCTAATATATTAAGTGCCAAAAATAACCCATATAATTGAAATTTTAGGGCACAAACAGCCGGTTTGTCTGACTTTATAGACTCCAATATTAACCCCTTACCTTTCACCCTCTTTTTGAGAATAGGGGTTAAAATGCACTATTCAAAGTATGATTTGGAATATACCCAAGTTTGGTCTTGTTTTAAAGGACACACTCAGCAGATTATTGCTGAAATGAAAACACTTCAAAAAATGAAAGTATGAAAAAGTTATGGAAGTTTAAATTTACATTAAATCAAATATACTGTACTATATATTTTTCATTTTATATAAAATATATATTTTACAAAATATTTTTTACTCTAAAATTACTATAAAATCAAAGGCATAAATTTAACCAAGTTATGTTCCAAATTTGAAGTTGATATCACAAAAATAGAAGTTCGCATGAGATTTTGTTTGGGGGTAGTACCAAAAATAGCCACTGGGTGCCATTGAATTCCATTGAATTTAGTTGTATACAACATATTCATAATTTTCTGTCCATTTCTGTCACAAAATTTGTGACCTTGAGACACAGGTCTTTCAGACAATATGTGTTTTGTCAAGATTAGAAAAAGTTTTGATCATAAATTATGAAATATAATGATGCCCAAAAGGGGAGGAGCCTGATAAAATAAGTACCGTTTCTATGGTGATGCAGCACTTAATTATAAAACGGTTTTCACAGGATGAATTCTGAGTTTATAAGCTTTCAAATGATACCTAATTTATGATAACTACTAAAATATGTGATATAATAAAAAAGGTGATAAAAAAGATATTATATTTTAGAGGATAATATATATATATATATATATATATATATATATATTATAATTTTAATTGAAAAATACTAGATTACATGTTTTATTATATGAACTTTTAGCATAAAAACAGAAGTTTCAATGATTAAAAGTGGGTGCATCGACTTTTTGTGACAAAGGTCAGACCTCCTGTGCGCAGATTTTTGAGGTGCACTCTTGTCATAAATTCGTCAATTACTCTTCCTACATAATTTGTAACACAAAACAGGGGTAGAATATCTATTTAGAAGTCTAAGACCTTTCCAATTATATTTAATTTAATTTGTCATAATTAGATTAGAATTTATTAGAAATATAGTGAAGTAGTTAGGCGTCCCGGTACCAGGACGGTGACAGTTATGACCCTGCAGAGAAGATCTAATCAATTAGCCTATTAGGCTACATAAAACTGACTGAGCTTAATTAACAGTACAGAATCAGTGTTATATTATAAGATAACCGTTTTAAAAGAATCTATTCACGTTTTAAAAGAATCTATTCACAATTGAATTCACTAATAGATAAAACAGCAAATGCTTAAATATGACGACAATCTGATTTTAAAGCAGATTCGACTTTGAATACAATTTAAGTTGTAACTAATTATTCTTTAGGAAAGGTTTTAAAAAGCTATATCTCTGCGTTAAGTATTTTGACTGACAGCTAGTCAACACGACATAGCTTCTGACCGACGACATTTCTAATTAATATGTTTATGATATTAATATTCTATTCACAAATGCATTCATATTTGCAATCTCAAACAGCAATGAAACTGAATGCAAACACTCACCGATCGCCACGAGCAGCAGAAGCACACACACAGCCATTGCTATTCCCACAGAAGGAGATGACCCTTCCTCAGATTAAACACACATGAAGTTTCTCTTTTATCCAGAACTATCTTCACTCCGACAACATCCATGAGACGCGACGCGCTGCAGACGCGCGAGGACACACATCTGAAGGACACACTCTCGCGACACACACGCATCGATTCATATCGCGATGAGGTACTTACTGATCCCACAGGAGAACATGCAGCAATCCGCGGAAAACCATGACGGAGAACTCGAGTGTGTGTGTGTGTGTGTGTGTGTTCACCACATCAAACAGATACTGATCTCAGAACAAGTTAAGCTCCTCCTGTTAGAGCCTGCAGAGATTTTTGCACAGGACATTTCTTTTTCTTGTGTTAAATGTCTAATTAAATGTAGGCTAGTTCAATCTCTAAATATACATCCACGATGTTTGTCTTCATAATCTTTAATCAAAGCGAAACACTTTTCCTCATTATCAATCCGTCTTAATGTGCGGGTCACGTGATCGATTCTTCTGAGTAATTTTGCAAGAAAAAAATTCTTTAAAACTTTAACATTAAATTAATGTAAAAAAAACCAAACACGTAATGACTATACGAACATTATACGAAACATTCCATTTTGCAAACATTATGGGAAACTTACTTTCAAACAATATCGCAACATTTAAAAAATCTTAGATAATGTCCAACTAAAACATAAATAAATAAATCCATGATCGAATCCTTATTAAAGCAACAGAAGTTATTCAGTCAAGAGGGGTATTTTTCTTCGTCCTTTGTTGTTTGATGAAGATTATAAACACAGATAGCAGGAATATTCAACCCGATCTCACAGCAATTAGATTTTTATGTGGTGGCTAATTCTTACAAATTCAAACAACCTCACTCATATGAATTAGTGCGATTTTTGTTAAATCGTACATATTTTACGAGTTTTCGAATTCGTATGAATTTGTACGAATGACCTCCCTCTGACTCCGCCCCTAAACCTACCCATCACGTGGATTTAGACCCCGCCCCTAAACCTACACATCACATGGATTTAGACCCCGCCCCTAAACCTACACATCACTTGGGTTTAGACCCCGCCCCTAAACCTACACATCACATGGGTTTAGACCCCGCCCCTAAACCTACACATCACATGGGTTTAGACCCCGCCCCTAAACCTACACATCACATGGATTTAGCCCCCGCCTCTAAACCTACACATCACATGGATTTAGACCCCGCCTCTAAACCTATACATCACATGGGTTTAAACCCCGCCCCTAAACCTACACATCACATGGATTTAGACCCCGCCTCTAAACCTATACATCACATGGGTTTAAACCCCGCCTCTAAACCTACACATCACATGGATTTAGACCGCACCCCTAAACCTACAGATCACTTGGGTTTAGACCCCGCCCCTAAACCTACACATCACATGGATTTAGACCCCGCCTCTAAACCTACACATCACGTGGGTTTAGACCAAAATATGATAGTGTTGGAATGCAGGCTGCTGTCACTTTAACATCTGACGCGGATCTGACACACATTTAAGAAACTCCCCAATAACGAGCATTTCAACATAATTTTGTGTTTTTTGTCTATTCAAGCAAAAGAGACATTGTTTACAGACATCACACCAGTACAGATCTGAGTTCTGTTGTGCGTTTATTGTACTGGAATGAACGATAGCTTGATCATATAATGTGACGCTAGACTAAGGATGCCATGAAAAAAAACGGATGCTGCATTAATTGATATTAAACATTTAGCAAAATTAACGTGTTAATTGTGACAGCCGACTTGAAATGCAAAAATTCGCCTTTATCAAATATAAATACTATTCATTCTTGAAGCTCAAACTGCAACGCCGAGGTCACGGGTTCGATTTCCAGGGAAAGCATGCACTGATAAAATGCAGTGCGTTTCACTTGGGATAGAAGTGTCCGCCAAATGTATAAATGTAAATATAGTCCCAGCATTTCCATTCCTCTGAAATGAAGGAGTGAGACTGCCAGATGTGACATTTACAGACTTTACATGAGTCTGAGGCTCTGAGAGATGTTTTACATGTGGATTCACTTTAGCACGACCAATGCAAACCTAAAACTTACACTTTTCTCATCACTTTCTCATCCTCACGTTGTTGAAAACCTACAAAACACAAACTCAAAGCTAGATGTTCAGCAGAATGTCTGAGTAGTATTTTTTATTTAGTTTATTATTTTTCTGCATATCAGAAATCTATCCTGAAACCAATTATTTCAAGGCTATTTGATGTCTGAATAAAAAAAAAGTTTAACAAGAATGTCAAGAATGTCATTAACATGGTTATTTCTTGTCGTTATTATGATAATTGTCCTCTTTACTTTCATTTTATTCTTTGACGTCGTCGTCATCCAATGAACACGTGTTTGCTGCTTTAACTGAATTGCTTTGGCAACGCATATATATTTGTGAAGCAAATGAAGCGCTCTCTTGGGTAAAAGAGTCCAGATCGACGTGAAACGGCGACAGACTTCGTGCTAAAGTGAATCCACATGTTATTCCCTCATCTCTTGTAACGTGTAGAAAAGTCTTTGTACATGTTGATCTGACAGACAGTGAGTCTCAGTCCTTCAACCGAGAGGAATGGAAATGGTGTGACCATATGGAGAGAGAGAGAGAGAGAGAGAGAGAGAGAGAGGAGCAAAACAAGGCGAGCTTTAAACGGGCTTGAGTTTCTCTCAGTTCAAAGGACTTTAATCTTTTGGTTTGGCAGCAATCAGACGAGACTTAAGTGGGAGTGAGACGCCTCTCTTTCTCTGTGTCTCTCTGTCTCTCTCTTTCTCTATCTCTCTATCTCTCTGGCTGTGGATGTTGGTGAATCCTGTGAAATGGTGACTTCACCCCGATCTCTATTGTTCGAACTTAATGTTTTGTGGAAAACCACATCCTGTGAAACACCACTCCTGTGAAATTGCTCACCAAAAACAATTCCTTTTTTTCCTTTGCGCAATTCGTCCAATTCTGATGTAACGGCTGAAGTCTGAAGAGCAAAGACAGATGCTTCAATGAAAGCCTTCAGAATCATGTTTACTGCGGTGATATACAGCGGCCGAGCTGTTTAAAGAGGACTTTTACAGAGTCTTGATGTTGTCTAGAACAGGTTTGATCTGACTTATCCTCATACGCAAAGTCGAAGAATTTATTAGGCTATCTTTAATTACATGGGACGGGTAAGTCCATGGAAGCTTCCATGTCGTTCTTGAAAAACTATAATAGCTGAGAGGAACAGAAAGCATTTTGTGTTTGATTTCGGACCCGATTCCCTGACCCTAAACCTACCAATCACCAGCCTACTTCTGTATTGTCTGGTCAATAGAGTGCCGAAGTGATGACGTCACTTTGTAGGACAACTCGGAAGCTAGCGGCGCATGGGTTCCCTCGGTCGAAAAGCAATGCATTTTCCCCATAGACTTTTGGAAAATCGCAAAAAATAAGATCTGTGTTCAACAAAGAGTTGTGACCCTTACACGTTTTGTCTATCAAGATAATCTTTACAAGTTAATCCAAAATGTATACATTTTGAAGCCTATATAAAGATTTTAACACAATCAGACACAATAAAGTTTAAAAAACCACAAGCAGATTATAACTGTATGTTCTATGTCATAGATCAAAACGTGAAAATATTTAGAGGTTTTATTCACCACAGGCCTTATTTCAGGCGATTTAGCAAAAACCCATTCAAAAATCCCATAGGCTTTAGAGCGAGGGAACCGTAGTGCTAAAATGCTAACTCACTTCCGCGTTTTGGCCTACAGAGTGACGTCGTACTAACTGTATGCAGGGTTGTATTGGCTTTATGCCGTGCGTCACGTGACCAAACCGCAAAACGGGTCTCATCGCATCTGCTTGTCAGAGAAAGTGTTAACGGCCGTAAGAACTGACTACGATATCTATGGATATTTAAGGTAATCAGCTAACCTAACTAGTTCACTTTGTTATTGGCGTTTTATTCCATTTAAATATCTAAACGTTACTGTGAAGAATAAAAAATATAAAACGTTTAAATATTAATCTGCACATGTGAGGGATATTGTTTATGCTAATCTTTGCTCGCTCCTTTTAAGTTATCTTAAGTAAAACCGCAAAAAATTTCATGAAAAACATACAAAAGACCTGGACCGGAAGCGATTCGACCTGTTTTACAGAGAATGCGGAAGTAAGTTGTGCATAAAGCCTATAGACGAATCCGGCGAAACTACCGGAAGTAAGCGGGGCGCCATTACTGAGCTGTTGCTGGGTAGCGTTGCGCCATTGCCTTCTATTGTTTTAGTTGCAACTTGCGTCCACTGGAATAAACAGCCCGCGATTTACGACTGTCACTAACGTTACAACGTTATCATGTATAATGTCGAGTGGGTAAACAGTTTCCGTTATAAATTGTTTCAATGGTGGCAGTAAAATTTCAATTTTGAAGAGAAAACAGTGTGAATACCCCGGGTCGAGTGCCCCTGTCTGGAGCCGTACGGTTTACAGATTTCCTGGGCGAGTACAAGACGTGGACATTCGCGTATAATAACAATTATTTAATGACATAAGTAAAAAAAATATATAATAAATATGTGATATAGTGATCAGCAAAATCTCCTCTCTTGCTATTTTTTCTATTCAATTAACATGCTATGGTCATTAAATGGCTTTCCTGAGCTAAATGTAACGTTATGTGACATAATTGTTTTCCTGCTGTTATATTGACCTCTTTCCATGGTTTAAAAACACTAATTGGTCGATATTATGTATACTTTCTAGCTGTAACGTTACCTTACCCTTACCTGTTGCAATGTGAAAATGAGATAAATAATGGACACAAATGAAAAACATGAATTTGTTTATTTGATTTCATTCATTTATTTATTTATTGTTGCCAAATGGACAGATCTTTTTATAGTTTCCTCGTTAGCAAACGTTAGCCTAGCTAGCTTGCCAAGCTATTTTCATAAATAACGTTAATCTGTAAGATCGTTTGTACCTTCATCTGTGACTGGAGGCCACTGCAGTCACAGATCAAACCAACAAGTCATTCTGCCTGGCTGTAGCTGTCATCGAGGGTGAGTTCGCGTTATCACCGAGGTTTGTTTACATACCGGTGCATATGTCTATATGCCTGTGCAGCTCAGTAATGGCGTCGCCACAAGATGGCAGCCTACACAGAACGCTCGTCGGATTCGTCTATTGGATTGCACTTGCAAGTTTTTTTGTTGTACACTGACTGTGTAGGAAT